GGAAACCCTATGAATTGGAACGGAAGCCACGGCACACCACTTACTGAAAATGTAACAGACTGGGGCCCAAGAAGTGCTATCAGCTCAGGTTCGTCTCTGAACCATCAAAATAGTCAGTTTTCCGGGAAACAGACAAGTGATGAAAGTTCCATACATAGCCATAAACTACACTGACGCTTCCATCGCGCGCAGGCGCAATCCCGAGTCCCTGTGGCTTGAAAACACCACGCACGTATTATGGAGCAGGCGCAGTGGAGTTTTCATTAACCATGCTTTCCTTTGGCCTGACCCGACACAGTCAGTAGTGGAAATATTGCTTAAGTGATTACTGTCATCTTTACCTTTTAACAGCCTTAATTAGCTCGAGCCTCTCTGTATTTATTTTCCTTCCCTCTTATTGGCACTTTTTTTGCCTACATAGGAGCAGCTGTTTGGAGTTGAAATTCACGTTACTGCTCAGAGACAGGGCATGTCCTAACAGATAAAAAAAAAAAAAAAAAGTCGCACAGTGTAGTGAACCGTTACAGTTCGCCAACTCAGTCACATGACCAAATCACCTGTAAACAAAATTCTGCTCTCTTCCATACTGGGTCCTTCATAAGATATAGAAATCATTTTACTTTCCCGTGGAAATTTAACACAGGTTCTTACTATCTAGGACCTGTGATAGCGCGCGACGCATGCGCGAGCCATCTGGCTGACTAACACGTGAAAGGTCTCTACAAGCTTCTGCGCTTGCCTGCTGTGGTGGAGGTCTTTGGGGCTTGGCCGCCATGGGGAAGGTGAATGTGGCTAAATTGCGTTACATGAGCCGGGATGACTTCAGGGTTTTGACAGCGGTAAGAAGTCTTTTCCTGTTTTTCCCTTTCTCTTGTCCTTCCTCACCGTGCGCCCTCTTCCTGTTCTTGGAAGTTTGCTGGGAGGTGAGCCTTGGATCGCCGCGGAAACTGGAAATCCGGGAAAGAAGATCAAGAACCACGGTTTTAAGAAGCCTGGAAAATCGCTCTTCCTGGGGCACTTGAGTTCTCATCAAATAAAACAAAGATCACTTCTAATTTCTTCTCTTTCTGCTCTTCTCCTTACTGTCAAAACAGCCATCACACTCGCTTATCTGTGGCCTGGTAAGCTTCTCTGACCCTGGATTTCCAGCTCGTGGGCAGGGTTCCCGAAACGTCGTGAGGGAAATCAGTAGGGGTAGCATTGTCATACTTCATTAAGCGTGAATTCCTCTCCTTGCTCGCAGCCTCTGTCATCTCTGCTTCATTCAGTCAACACATATTTTTTGGGTTAAAGTAAACGAATAAATAAGCAAGATACTATCAGATAGTGACAATGAAGATGGTAAACAGGATAGTAGTGGTGGGGGTGTAGGGTGCCAATGATATTGTTGTTGTTGTTAAGTGCCATCGAAGTAGGTTCTGACCATAGTGACCCTACATAGGGTTTCCAAGGAGTGACTGGTGAACTTGAACCGCCGACCTTGCAGTTCAAACGGCTTTGCAGTCTGGCGCATTAACCCACAGGCGCCACACCTAAGTGGCCTCAAGTCGGTTCCTACTCATAGCTGGTGAGTTCGAACAGCTGACCTTACGGTCCAGTGCTTATCCTACAGTGCTACACTAAGCTGCCTGGATGTAAGAATGTGTGTTTATGTTTATAATCAGAGTCAGTTGTTAGGTGCCGTCGAGTCGGTTTGACTAATAGCAACCCTGTGCACACCAGTGTTATGCCACCTTCATAGCCATTGCTGTGTTTGAACCCAAAATCTGTGTTGTTGAGGGTCTTCCTCCTTTTCCCTGGAACTTTCTGCTTTTCCAAACATGCCCTTCTCCAGGGACTGGGACCTCCTGATAACATGTCCAGTGTAGTGACACAAAGTTCTCACTTGTAAGGAGCATTCTGGCTGTACTTCTTCCAATACAGATTTGTATTGGAAGAACAATACTGTTCTTTGCCAACACCTTAATTTTTCAGTCTTGTTTATTCATTGTCCAGCTTTCACATGCATGTGAGGTGATTGAAAACCCACAACTTGGGTCGGATGCACCTTAGTCTTCAAAGTAACATCTTTGTACCTTAACGCTTTAAAGCCATCTTTAGCAGCAAATTGTCCCAGTGCAATGCATCATTTAGTTTCTTGACTACTGTCTCTATGAGTGTTGATTGTGGATCCAAGTAAAGTGAAATCCTTGACAAGGTCAATTTTCTCTCTGTTTGTTGGTCCAGTTTTGAGGATTTTTTGTTTCTTTGTGTTGAGGTGTAATCCATATTTAAGACTATAATCTTTGATCCTTATCAGTAACTGCTTCAAGTCCTCTGCTTTCAGCAAGCAAGGTTGTGTCATCTGCATGATAGAAGGATTACACAGTCCCTGTACCAAAAAGAATTGGTCTATGTTCAATCAACAGTAGTGAGGTTGGCCTAGGATCGGGCAGTGTTTCGTTCTGCTGTGTATAATGTCGCTATGAATTGGCACCGACTCGATGGCACCTAACAACAACAACAGCATGTCATTTGCTCAGAGAATCCTTCTGTATTGCAACCCAAGGCTTGAAGTTCGTTCATTTTGAGAAATTCTGAGTGTGTTCTTCCCTTTTGGTTTTATAACTCCCAAGTCTTTGCACATTTCAGCTTCTACTTTTACTTGTATATAACTGTTCTGCTTTTTTCTGACTGATGGTACTCAATTTGATTCCTATGTGTATAGTTGCCATTTATGTTATTGAAATAAGTTATTTGCAATGAATAAGTCATTGATCTTGCAGAATTCTATCATGTGACATCCAGTGTTTCTATCACTAAGGTCATATTTTCCAGCTGCTGATCTTCTTTTGCTTGCAACATTTCACATTTAATCCCCAGTGCATTTTGATTGCATGTTTGATTAATTTCAGACCAAAGAAAAGTTGGTAAAATTCAATTCCCTCATCTTCGGCATTAGTTGTTAGTGTGTAAATGTTAATAGCAGTCATAACTGATCTTCTTTATGTTGTTGTATGCCGTCGAGTCAGTTCTGACTCATAGTGACCCTGTATAGAGTTTCCAAGGAGCAAGTGGTGAATTTGAACCACTGATCTTGCAGTTCAGTGCATTGTCCTTCAGCGTCACACCACGTCTTCTTTATGAATATTATCCTATTTCTGACAGCCTTGTACTTCAGGATAGATCTTGAAACGGCCTTTTTATAATGATGAATGTGACCCATCCCTCTTTGATTTAATCATTCCCTGCATAATATACCGAGTGATTGTCTGATTCATAATGGTCGATTCTAGTCCATTTCATTTTTGATGACTTCCAATTGTTGTTCATTTGTGCTCATTTTGAGTTGTGTCCCATTAGCAAATGATGGCCTCAAAAGCTTTGTTCTATCCATGTCATTAAAGTGGACTCTATTTTGAGGAGGCAGCACTTCCCCATTCATATTTTGAGTGCTTTTCAACCTAGGGCCTCATCTTCCATCCAGCACTGCATGAGACATTGTTCCATTGCTATTCATAAGATAGTTAGTGACTATTTTTGTTGCCAACACTGGTCTTATCACTTTATTGTATTGTGGTAGTTTGTGTCTTGATATCCTGGAAGATGTGCCACCTGTGTTTAAAATATCAATCAACAAGCTCACCCATGGTGGACAGGTTTCAAAGGAACTTCCAGACTCAGACAAAATAGGAAGAAGGAAGAGGCTGACTACTTCTGAAAAATTAGCTCCTGAAAACCTGAGAAATAGCAGCAGAATACCAAAGTCTACAAAGTCTGTAAGAATTAAAAATAAGTAAATAAAAGTGCCTGACCCTTGATAGGCAGTCATATGTTTGCTAAATAAAAGACTGTGAGTGGATGATAGGAACAAGCTGCTGGTGGAGAAGCCAGCCTAGTGAAATCTTTAGTAGAGTTATTGGAGGTCAGAGGCAACAATAGGTGCAAAGACCCTGAGGCAGAAGATTATCTTGGAGTATTTGAATACTTAGAGAGACCTGTGTGCCTGGAATGTTGTTGTTTTGTGCTGTGGAGACTCTTCAAACTCACAGTGACCCTGCACAGGGTTTCCAAGGCTGTAAATCTTTACGGGAGCAGAAAGCCTCATTTTTCTCCCATAGTTTCGAATTGCTGACCTTGCTACCACTATGCTATCAGAGCTCCTTATTTTGTTACATAACTATCTTCAATATCAGAAGATGATGTGTAAGTATCTGAAATATTTACATGAGGATTTCAGAAAGTTTGTGAGAGACCAGAATTAAAAGATAATGGAGTCACTTTTAAAGGTAAATGTTTCGATATTAACAAATAATTTACTATTTATTGTGTCTAATATGAAGTATGGGAGAGTGGTGGCTCTACAGGTTAAGCACTGGACTGTGAACCCCAAGGTCAGCGGTTTGAGCCCAACAGCTATGCTGTAGGTGAATGATAGGGTTTTCTACTCCTGCAAAGATTTATAGACTCATAAACCCTAAACGGGTCACTATGAGTTACTGCCAGCTCGATGGCACTTTAACAGTAACAACTATGGAATCCTGCTAATCCTACAAGGTTGACATTCAAACTCACTAGCTGCTCCTAGGAAACTCTGTACAGGGTCGCTATGAGTCAGAACCGACTTAGCATTTAACAGCAACAAATGTCCGCTATATTAAGCACTCAAAATTCTCTTGTTGTCAACTGCTGTAAGTCAATTCTGACTCATAGTGACCGTGTATAGGGTTCCTAAGGAGCACCTGGTGGGTTTGAACCACCAACCTAGCAGAAATGTCACTGGTTATACATTAAATTGAGATTAAAAAATAGGTTCAAAGGAAGACGTCATTATGTCTCAGAATTGTTTAGGGAAATGCATGTCAGAAATTTCAAGCAAAAGTTAATTTCTTGGCATAGTTTTGATAGACAGGGATGTTGTGGTGATTGTAATGGCATAATGGTTCCTTTAATTTCAGGTTGAAATGGGCATGAAGAACCATGAAATAGTTCCCTGCAGTTTGGTTGCTTCTATAGCAAGCCTTAAACATGGTGGCTGTAATAAAATTGTAAGAGAATTAGTGAAACATAAACTCATAGCTTGGGAGCGTACCAAAAGTAAGTATTTGAATCATCATTTCTGATTTTTCAACCCCAAATGAAGTCCTGGTGGTGCAGTGGGTTAGCCATTGAGTTGCTAACTGAAAGATTGGCAGTTCGAACTCACTAGCTGCTCCTTGGAAGAAAGATGTGGCAGTCTGCTTCCTTAAAGATTCACAGCTTTAGAAACCCTGTGGAGCCGTTCTACTCCATCTTACAGGGTTGCCAAGAGTTGGAATCATCTCAGTGGCAGTGAGGTAGCTTCCTCAGTGTTCCAAAAGGCAGGAAGTAAAAGTTGCCAGACTAGTTGAACTAGAATAGTAGACTTCATTTCTTTGTAAGGGAATAGCAAGTTCACATTTCAGAAGAACAAGTAGGGTAGAGACTGTTGCTGCCGTCTTTTGAAAATGCAATTGGCCACAGAACTGTAGAGCAGTACTTACCTACTTATCATACCATCGGTGATGAAGGGTGAGGTTTGTTTTCTTTTTCTCAACCAATCACATATCTGTACAAAATACAATCATGCAAAACAAGGTGGTGGTGGTGGTAGCTGTGTGCCCTTAGAGTCGATTCTGACTCATAGTGACCCTGTGTACGGTTTCCCAAGCTATAAATCTTTATGGGAGCAGAAAGCCTCATCTTTCTCCTGCAGAACCACTGCTGACATTGAGATTAGCAGCCCAGCTCGCAACCACTGTGCTACCAGAGCTCCTGACAAAACACAAGTATAAATTCTTTATTATTGAAGTCAAAAGCATAAAATGCGTTGGTCAAATTGATGTAAAATTTTCTGAACTTAAATACTTTTTCATCAGTTTCTGAAATTATTTTGTCACAGACCAGTAACAAAAAAGCAGCTACAGAATGGCATCAGAGTGCAGGTTACACTGAGTAGAACTCCTCTAGAAAAGAAATGCAGTTTGTAGGAAGGAGCCCTGAAGGTGCAGCGGTTAAGTACTTAGCTGCTCACTAAAAGGTTTGGTTCTTCATGGGAGAAAGATGTGGCAGTCAGCTTCTGTAAAAGATTGGAAGCACTATGGGCCCATTCTGCTCTGTCCTATAAGGTTACCATGATCAGAATTGACACAGTGGCATACGACACATACACGGCCAAAAGGCTGGCAGTGAGAACCCACCAGTGAGTCCTCAGGAGAAAAACCTGATACTGTGAAGATGTCAGCCTAGGAAATAACTCCTGAGAAGTGCTGCTCTGCTCTGTAAGGTCATTATGCATCCAAATCGACTCAGCAGAATACAGTAGTAATAGAAAGAACTAGGACATTTACAAGACTGGGTAGGTAGGTCAACTTTTTCCAGCTTAGACTGTATGTTTAACGTCTAATGTCTTGAACTGTTGTTGTTAATTGGTGGTTCAGTATAACTAAAAAATGGTCTCCATTTTTTTTTTTTTTTCTCTTTTCTTTAGCTGTCCAGGGCTATCGGTTGACAAATGCAGGCTATGATTACCTAGCTTTGAAAACACTTTCTTCTAGACAGGTAGTAGAGTCTGTTGGAAGCCAGATGGGTGTTGGCAAAGAATCAGGTAAGTGCTCATAGTGATATTGAAAACATTTCTTTGCTTTAATGTAGATGTCTTATGTCCCCTTGAAAAAGTATTCATCTTTAATTTTTCCATGTTTTCCAAGTTAACAGTAAATTTGCAATAAAGTTATGAATGAAAGTTCTCTTAGTTTAATCCATAATTGTTTTCAATAAATTCATTACTGAAAATGCTGTTATTTAATTTCCCTCAAATAATTGAAATCTTGGCAAATAATTTTGATTTGGCTTTACTTTATGTCTGTTAAATTATACATTTCTAACAGTTAAAACCATGTAACACAAAAATTACTAGAAGACAATGAAGGCATTTTTGCATCACATCACTGTGATCAGCAAGGCCTAAAGACAGGTGTGTGTACAGCACAGAAAAGCATTCTAAAATAGTATTGAATAGATAGATAGCTATGTATTTATTATTCTCTGGAAGACAAGAAGGAATGAAGAATAGGGAATGATTTTCTTTATCTCATGCCGTCTTGTACTCTGCTTTTATCCTATAGAGTTACATTATCTAAACTGAGGAAGCAAAATTTAAGTTAAAATCATGAGAGGATTATTAGGAAGCCTTCCCCAAAGAAGGTTATTGTAATACTTTGTGTGGTTTGTATATCTTCTGTGTTTATAACCAGACTTTGATATGTATTTAAGATATAAGAGAACTAAATGCACAATTTGTGTATACGTTACAAACTGTAAGAGAGAACGAAACACCTTCTTTGGGGGTTAGGCTTTCTGTTCATGTGTTCTGAAATTTGTTGCATGGCAAAAGAATATAATAAAATGTAAGTCTTATTCAAATCTCCTGTTATTACTTCCCAAGCTACTATTGTTTATTTTTTTAACTTGGTGGTTGCTTGGTGGTTAAGTGCTGTGGAGTCAGTTCTGACTCATAGTGACCCTGTACAGGGTTTCCGAGGCTGTAAATCTTTATGGGAGCAGAAAGCCTCATCTTTCTCCCGTGAAACAGCTGGTAGTTTTGAACTGCTGACCTTGAGGTTAGCAGCCCAACTCTTAACCACTACCTGCCTGAGCTCCTTAATGAAGTTATTAGTTGCTGTCAAATTGATTCTGATTCATGATAACCTCATATGGGCAGAAAGCCTCATCTTTCTCCCATGGAACAGCTGATAGTTTCAAACTGCCAACCCTGAGGTTGCAGCCCGGTTCGTAACCACTCCGCTACCAGTAGATAATTGCAGCAATTCAAACCCACCAGCTACTCCTTGGAAACCCTATGCAGGGTTGCTGTGAGTAGGAACTGACTTGATGGCAATAACATCAACAACAACATATATGTACTGATGGAGTGTGTGAATGTGATTGCTTATGTATTTTTACATATATGTAGTTATGTGTTGTTTAATGTCTGTGGGCAATATCTGACAGAATATACAGTGTTGTGTTTTGCTTTGCTTCTTAAGAAAGAGCTGTTCTCTTTTTGTTTATTTTTTCCCCTCTAATGGTTTTAAAAGGAGCTTTGGTAACACGGTTCCGACTTAGAGTGACCCTGTACAGGGTTTCTGAGGCTGTAAATCTTTACAGGAACAGAAAGTTTCATCTTTCTCCCACGAAACAGCTGGTAGTTTCGAACTGCTGACCCAGAGACTAGCAGCCCGATTTGTAACCACTATGCTACCAGAGCTCCTTCACTTTCTTTGTACGACTCTTAATTGAATTATTCTATAAAGAAGCAATTATACAGCCGAATGCACACTTTAAGGAGACAATCAGATGAAGGGTTGCTGTGAGTTGAAACCAACTCAAGAGCACATAACAACAATGGTTTTAAAGATACACACACCCCCCAAGGCTTTTACACTTGGACTCCTGGCGTGGTACTGTAGGATAAGCAGTGGACTGCTTACCACAAGATCAGCGATTCAAACCTACCAGCTACTCCTGGGAAACCATATTCAGGGTTACAATAAGTTGAAGTGGACTCCACAGCACTTAATAACAATAACAACTTCTGCACTTTAACTTTTTGTCAAGATAGATTTCTGATAACATTTCATATCAGCAGGTATCTCTCATAATTGGAAGAGTATTAAGTTTTATGGATGCTCCATAATATATTGTACCATTCCAGTTGCTAATGGGCTTTTTTTTTTGCTTTTTGATACCTGATACTGTAAACACTGCTGAACAATTATTGATATGTGAATTAATTTATAAATATGACCTTAGAAATTTAATTATTGGTACAAAAGGTATTTCCATTAAATTCTTTGATAGATACTTCCAAATTATTCTGAAAGACTTTGTCCCCATTTATAATTCCTCTAACAAGATAAGAGAGAGCCTGTTTCTCAAAAGAAATGAATAATGAAATTCTTCCTGAATGCTTATAGCATGTTCTGAATGTCAGTATTATAAATAACAACTTGTTTGGATAGTTGAAAGGTTTATTGGAAGATCTGAATTCTCTTTACTAACAGGTTGTTTTCTAACAATTCATTATTGAAGTAGTTGAAAAATTGAACCTTTTGTTGAAAGGAAGATGTTAAATCACTTCTTATGTAAGGACATTAAGGAACAACGTAAGGTTTCCCCACTAGTTGAGTGATTGTTTTTGACATAGGGTGGACACCAGTACACTGCAGGCACTTTTGGAGGCAGCCACCCTTGACAGGGTTCGTCACCTTGGTAGAGATGGTTTATTTCCCCCTCCCTAAATTTTATTTATTTTGTTGTTGTTGGGAATATACACTTCAAAACATATACCAGTCCAACAGTTGATACATGTACAATTTTGTATGTAGATGCTTGTCAGATATATGATTTCTGAAGGTTTACTCCCAGTTGATAGCTATTCTTCAATTTTTTGAGCAAGTCTTTTTTGATGAAGTTTTATGAGGTCCCATCTGTTTTGTATTTTGCTGTTTATGTTTTTGTTATTATTTTAGATAATCCATTGTTAAAATGTGGGCCCAACAGCATTTGCCCTTGCTTTATACTTCGAAGAATTTTATGATTTTAGCTTACACATTCAGTCCTTAATCCAGTTTGAACTTGTTTTTGTGTATGGTGTGAGACATCGATCCTGTTTCATTTGTCTGCATGCATGTAGAAATCCAATGTTCCCAGTACCATGTATTGAAGTGACTCTTTTTTCCCCATGGACTGGGCTTTACACTCATCAAAAATCAGTTGACCGCATTTGTGTGGGCTTATTTCTGGAATCTCAATTCTATTATTTTATGTTCTGTTTTGATTACTCTAACTGTATTATTGTTGTTAAAGTGCCTTCAAGTCGGTTCTGACTCATAGCAACCCCATATAGGGTTTCCAAAGAACGGCTGGTGGATTTGAACCACTGACCTTTAGGTTAGCAGTCCAGTACTTACCCTATAGCGCCACACCAGGATTCCTTGCTGTCCTGTAGCTGTTTTGTTGTTATTAAGTGCTGTTAAGTCAGTTCCAACCCACAGCGACCCTGTATAGGGTTTCTGAGGAGTGACTGGTGAGCTTGAACTGCCAACCTTGCAGTTCAAACCAGCTTTCCAG